AGATGGCTCCGCAAGGCTCCGTGGCCCCGGACGTCTCTCCCACCACGTCTGAATCTGCTACTGTCTTGCTGCCTGGTGATTCCTCAGCCACTGGGGTCTGGCCTCGCCCCTTGCCCCTTGCCCCTTGCCCCACACCCCTGCAGTTACCCAGGCTGTAGCAGGACCCCTTCCTTCCTAGATGGGTTTTGTGGGTTCTCCTCTCGGCACACACACTTTCTCCTGGGCCAGGTGGTCCACTCCCACCCTTGGCTACGGCTGACGTGCCCAAGAATGCTACATGTGAGCCCAGGCTCTCCTGAGCTCCAGACCTCTACTGGGGCCTCCAAACATGCTCTCCCTTCCCCCAGTCCTCCCCACACCAGGGACCGGGAGCCACCCTCAGCTCCTCCTCCTTTTCATGGAGGGCTCCCAGCATTAACCCAGGCCCTTATCCTCACCCTCCCGGCCACCTCAGGGTCCAGACATTTTCACTCAGCACCTCTCACCTCATTTCCTCACTGACAAAGCTAAATGTCAGCAAACAAAAATAATGGGACGTGTCCCTCCCAGGCTTGACTGCCTGTTGGCCTGTTGGCACCAACAGACAGGGAAAAGCCCAAGCTCTGGTCCTGGCCTCTGTCTTGGGCCTTCTGCCAGTGCACTCATGCAGGGCAGGTCTAGGCCTTGTGGGCTTTTGCAGTCTGGGAGCTCCACTCAGGGACAGAACCCTCAACAGCAGCGCAAAACTAGATACAGACTCATAAGCTTCAAAGCGCACTCTCCGCTCAGGGCATCTCCAGCCTTTCGCCTTCTCACCGCCCAACCTCAACACCCTCCAAATGCCTCTACGTCCCCTCATCTGTGAGCACTTCCTGCTCCCCCAGCATAGTTCAGGGCTCCTGAAGCATGTGACCCGGTTTCGTGTGGCCTGCGAGGACAAAGCACATCCTGGCCCCAGTGCTCTTGCGTCGGCCGTCACACCACAAGTGTCAGCCCAGGTTTCAGAAGAAGCCCCACTGGCCTTGAGATACCTGCGGTGACACAAGGTGGTATCCAGATCCCAGCCAAACATGTTAGTAGAACAGGGTCCACAGAAAGTCACCAGAGCAGGGTTTCTACCCCATCATAAGGAATGTGTGTCTTCTGCAAGACACTTACTAACGATCTGCCAGAGAAGCTGAGACCTAACAGGTTCGAGGCCATGGCGCAAAGCACATCAAAGGGGCTAAGAAGATGCAGGAAAGACACCCCTTTCACTTTGTATTTCCACAGCTATTTCACCATGAACTTTCTTCTATGAAACCAGAGGTGAGGGTCAGACAGATGTAAAACTGAAAGCCACAGCAGAGCTGAGTGTTTCTGCGGTGCTCAGAGACACTATGGACTTCAGACGACATGTGGGATTCCGATCCGAAGGCGAGTGGAGTTGGGTACAGATGTGAGCCTCAAAGACCATGGTGGGGCTCTGAGAAGATGGACGTCCTGTCTATACGAGGGCTAGACCCGAAGCTAGAAGCATAGAGCAGATGAATAGTCTAGGATCAATGTCGCAAAAAGCCAGAGGTCCCTCCAGGTGGCCAAGGCAATTACTCTGGGGCCTCTGCCAAGAATGGTCCCGGGAAGGAAACAGCCCCACCCAGACACCAGAACTTCCCGCACTTTGAACGTTTCTCTTAGAGACCGTAGCACTAGCAGTTCATCACTAAATGAGAGAGGAGTGCTAGGTTCCAGCCATAGTGAGCTGCAAACGAGAGCTGCCCAGCAGCCCTGGCGGGCACCACAGCTCCTGCCAGCCACATGGAGGGGCCGACTCCACACGCTCACTGAATCCTCCGCTCAGCCCCCTGCCTCTGGCCAGAAGCCAAGAGTGGGCAGTGGGGTCCACGCCACTGGGGACTGTGGTTTCACCCAGATCTGAGGGGTGAGGGGAAGCAGAGAGGGCCAAAGGAAGTGTGAACGAGAGAAGGGGGTGCAGAGGGAAGTGGGAATAGGAAGGCAGGGCAGAGGGATGGCTCCGTGTAGCTGGGCTGATGAGGTAGCGCTCCGAGGACTCGAGGATAAGCGATTTCAGAATACACGTGCTATTTGTGATATACGCGATTGATAGATAACGGTGTCAGTCTACCCAGTGAACAGGTGCGCATTTCTGTGTGAGAGGCTACCGCACAGAAACCCAGCATCCGTCACCAGAAGGGGCTTAACGACACAGCCCCCAGAGTACAGTGAACAGAGAGTGGGGCTCGGGGCCAGACAGATACCACCACTTACCAGCTGCAATAGACCTCTTTAGAACCTTAGTTTTATTGTCTGGAAAATGGAGAGTATGCTGTTATCCATCTGAGAGAATGGCTGTAGAAGTGAAATAATATGACCTGGCATTTTCCAGTGCAATATCCGGCCCTTTTATTTCCCACGAAGGACCTGGCTGAGTGCCCACTTCATGAGAACCCACCATGCTGCAGCCCTGAGCTTGGTGCTTCAGGGTGTCACCGTCACCATCTCACAGGGGAGGGACTGAAGTTCACAGTGGCTCATCCAAGACTACAGAGCTCAGGTGCAACTAGCTGAGAGTTGATATCCAGGGCCCTCTGACCCCAAGCTGATGCCAGGGAATGAAGCAAACTGCCGACATTGGTGAGAACATGTCACAAGGGACTTGTGTTGTTTTAGGTTTTCCAGCATCTGGACCCCCGTAACAGCAGCTGATTTTCCTCTGGAGACCCACCCTCCCTCACTCTCAGCACCTGTTTGCTAGGTGGGCTGGCCCCGTGCCCCAGCTCCCAGGAGAGCACAGGACTTAGGCCTGCCCAATGGAGGCCTTACAGCATCCCTGACCCTGCTGATTCATCCAGGGGAAAGCAGGGGACCCATGTGAAGCCAATCAGAGGCTGGACTTTTGCAAGAAGTGCCAAGTCAAAGAGGCTCCCTTTCCAGTGCACCTGTGGGGTAGGTGGGGTACAAAGCTGGCACCTGTGGGTCTTGCCCTGCCCCATCCCATGTCCAAATCAGAACACAAACACAGGGTCATGGCACAACCCAGAGCCATGGGACAAGAGACCTTTACCCTGACAGAGGAGAAATGCTCAGGGTGCCCAGCCACCCCATGGGAGCCAGCAGAGCAAATGACAAGACCCAGGCTCGCCTGAGCCTGATCGTGGGGTCCAACAACCAGTCCATCTGAATCATGTGTCTGTCCTTCAGTGATATTTATCCTAAGCCCCCTCCCTAGATTACAGGTCACAAAAGACAGTGCTTGCATTTAGCTTAGTTCTTTCGTCTGTTGAGCAAACATTTATTGACGGCCTGCACTGTATCAGGAACTGTGCTTCCCACTTTAAGTGGCTTTAATTTTCACTGGGACCAAAGGACATAGAGAACAGAGGGACTGGCAAGGGAGGAGAAGCAGAGATGAAGATAGGGGATGGTCGAGGGTGGGTCAGGGAACCCCCCCGTCCCCAGGGGTTAGGTCCTGCAGAAGCCCAGGACCTGGGCTACTCATCCCAAATGGATACCCTGGCCATGCCCATAACGCCCACCCTCAGGGTACCTTTGGCATTGCCCTACTGGAAAGAGGGCTTTCACATTCAGCTGGGAGTTGGAAGAGGCCAAAAGGGGAGAGGGCCCCAAAGCGAGCCCCTGAGATGACAGGAGCTGAAGGACAATATTCCTGGACCACTTAGGGGAGGCACCGTGAGCTTCCCAAGCCCCCACATATCTTTTGAACCCTTAACTGGAAGAAGGTAAATCAGACAAGCCCTTGTGAATAAGACCGAATCCCTCACTTTGTGAGCTGTGCCTTCCAAGGCTGACAGGAAAGGGCCCAATAGGCTGGTCTTCAGGGAGCAAGAAGGAGGCCAGGCAGTGGCACCTCACACCCCCCCCCCCGACAAAGCCAGAAGAGGGAGGAGGGCCTAAAGGGGTACAGAAGGCAAAGAAAGGCAGCTTGAAAAGGGCAGACAAGGGCCAGCCAGGGGGTTACCAGAGCTGCCTCAGACCAGCACCAGTGGGCAGGAACCAGCTCTCCCACCAACATCCATGGAGCCCACAGGCCCAAGGGGGACCCCTTCAGGAGCAAAGCCTTGGGAATGGGGTCCTCAAGGAAATATCCAAGGGACCAGCCCAGGGGCTCTGGCAGCTCTACCAGAGCAGCACCCCAGCCCCTTGCTCAGCAACCCCCACCCCCATTTCCAGGGCACAACGTGGCCTCTTCAAGTCCTCACCCTGGGCAAGAGGTGGGACGAGCAGACAGACAGAGGAACAGGGAAGGTACGGAGAAGGCGAGAGGGCAGATGGAGTATGGAGGGATGCTGTGACTTCCCCCTAAGAATGGCTTCTTAATGCACTTTGAAAATGCACTGCAGTCTGTGTTTAAGGGGCTCGGAGGCAGAGCAGAGAGACAAATTTTTCTGGGGCAGAACACAGGGAGCTGCTGGTGCATCCCAAAAGGAAAAGGAGTCTGTGTACTCTAAGCCTCAAAAGGAAGCAAGGCAGGAGGCAGCTACAGGAAAGGTGGCACCAGCCATGTGGCCACAGGGAGGATGGGGTTGGGGGCCCACAGGCTCACAGCGAAGCTGAACAGTGGGGGGAGGGGAGTGGGTTGCAACTCCAGGATGGAGCACAGAACAACCCGTAACAGGAGAGGCAGCTTTGGTCGGGAGCAAAAGAGTGAGAGCCCACAAGAACCCCCCGAGGCAGGGCGTCTCCAGGAGGGCTGTGGAGGTGCTCGGCCCCGCTGGGTCTCTGATGGGTGCCCAGCCCCCACTCCTAGCACCAACAGGATGGAGAGAACAGCGGCCCCAAGATTTCAGATCCCTGAATGAGACTTGTCTCACACAGACAAAGCAAGGGCAGACAAAGGACACAAGTGGACAGAGAGGCATGCCACGGACAGGTAAGGGGTGGGATAGAATGGACTGGGGAGGGGAACGGAGGAAACCTCCGATGGTGGACAGACAAGAGGAAAAACACAGGGTGGGGGGGGGCCATGGACACGGGACAGGACCCTCCCCACACTGCCCTGCTCACCGAGCTGCCGCGATGGGCGACTTCTTGGCAGGGTCCAGCAGGCCGCCCAGGCCACCAACCGGCTCTTCCCCCAAGGAGCGTGTGTCTTTGTTGAGCTGCTGCAGGCGAGAGCTGAGCTCACTGATCACAGTTGGTTTGTCATCTTCAGGCCCTGGGAGTCCCCGGCTCTCCACGGGGTCCCCCCACAGCTTGGACCTTCTCTGGAAGAGGTAGCGAGGGCGAGCAGGTCCGGCAGCAGAGGCCAGCCCGGCAGAGGCGGCATGCTGCTGGGCCATGAGCTCACTGTCCGAGGACTGCTTCAGCAGCGGGTCCCTGAAGGTCACCGGCCCCTTCCCCAGCGGGGACTTGAGCTTGGGCTTGGGAGGCACTGGTGGCTTCTCGAGTAGAAAAGTGTGTCCATCGGCGAAGGAGGTGTGGGTGTCAGTGAGCTCCCCACTCTCCGAGCTCAGGGTGGACATGCTGGACACCGTGGAGATAGTGCTTGTGGTCTCCAGGTGGGGGTCGCTGGAGCTGCGTGTGTCAGCCTCCTCCACCCCTGAGTCAGCTGCAGATTCAGGGGCAGGAGGCGGCTCGCTGCTCGGCTTCCCTGAGGCCGGGCCTGGCACCACGGTGGGTGAGGGACCTGGGCCAGGAAGTGGGGTGGCCAGCAGGACCCCGTTGGCAAACTCTTCGGGAGGCGGCACCAGCCCAATGCGGGCTAGCTCCTCCCTGGTCTCCTCATCACTGGAGGACAGCTGGGCGGGCGGCAAGTTCACAGCGAACACCAGCTCTGGCTCCTCCTCGGAGCTGCCCTGGCCCGGCCCGGGGTCTGTCGGAGCCGTGCTGCCAGGGGGCTGAGCCCGGGGGCTCGCCAGGGGCTCTGCCACCACTGCTGACTGTGCGGGGGCTGGGGCCAGCTCCGGGGTGCCCGGGCGCTCCTCTTCAGCCCCCAGCCCGCTGGGCTCCTGCCCATTGCTGGTGGCGTGCACGACGATGAGGCCGGCCGGCCGCTGCAGGGATGTGTCCAGGACGCTGAGGATCATGGACTTCTTGTCCTCTGGCGACTTGCGCTCCTCCCGGGGTGCTTTCTCCGGCTCCCTCCGAGCAGGCACAGGAACCCAGGCGGGGCTTCTTGGGGAGAAGGCTGGGGAGGCCAGCGCCCCTCGCTCAGAGTCGCGGGCCTGTACATCCACGAACAGAGGCCCAGGGCGGTCAGCATCAGGGCTGTGCACGGGCGTGGGGGACCGGGAGGGCGCCTGGGAGGCCAGAGCACGTTCTCGAGCTGCCAGGGCGAGGGCCAGGGGCGAGCTGGGGTCCAGGGGTTTGCCGGTGAGTGGGTGGATGAAGGTGGAGCCTGAAGGCCCAAGGCTCGGGCCGCTGACCAATGGCTTCAGAGCAGAGACGGGGGAGGGCAGGAGCAGGTCTCGGCCGGTGGTGGTGGCAGCGCCAGCCCCCAGCAGGCGCTCATCGATGGAGCGGGAGGGCTGCAGGGAGGGCAGGTCTGTGCTAGGTGTGCTGCCCTCGATGGCTCCCACCGACAGGAACACGGTTGAGCGTCGCCGCTCCTCCAGCCGCCGGTCCTTGCCCGGGCCTGGGCCCCCGAACGCGAGGCCGGGGCTTTCCCCGGGGCCGTAGTCAAGGCCGCTTGGCCGAGGCCC